AAAATGAGGAGCGAGGAGGAAGAAACAGTGGTTCGGGTAAAAGAAAAGAAGGGATATTAATGCCGGTATATAAACGGGCCAGTGGTGGTGGGAATAGGTATAAATAATTATAAACGAGAGTAGAACAAACTTTAGTTTGTCGTACGGGCGATGTTGTCCCAAATATGTTATTTGATGTTTATCGACTTTTAAAGCATTTTAAATGCTTTAGCTTGCTTCGAAAGAACTATTGGAATTTTGTGTGCAGCTTTCTGCTGTAGGAACTTTGAAATTGCTCGCTGAGGACAGAAATGTCTTAAAACGAGTTTTTTTTATACAAAGTGAGTAGTTCTAATTTCCTGAAACGAACCTGTGGAAATTTAAACTTTTACAGTATAAGAATCAATCGAAGAGAGAAATTAGTAAAAAGAACTTTTCTAAACGTAAGAAAAATCGATAAAACATCTTCAGTCACTTAAAATCTTCCTATGAGTGGAACAGTAGAAGCGAAGATTTCGCAAATGCTAAAGTTATAGGTGTGATACTAAAAGGTTCTCTAGTAACACAACGAAAGTACTGCGTAGTTGACAAAAGACTTGAAATAATGTCAGAATCGAATAAAATAAAATACAGGCAGAATAACGTTTTTCAAATGAACACATTTGCCAATTTTCACTTCTGATAAAAATATGTTTGCGGATACGAAATGTGGGAAATTAGCTGAGCAAGTATCGATTATTTGAAACTCCTAGAAGATCTTTATGCAATGATAAAAAAAAAATATAAGTTTCTTAGAGGACTATAGTTATCTAATGTTCAATAGTCCACAAATTGTTAGCTCAGCGTGTTGCTAATGAAATTTGGCAACATTGTATACTTTTTTACAAAAAAAAAAAAAAAAAATAGGTTCCAATGGATACTTTGAGTCTTGCGGAATATTTATGACAGAAAAATTTTCAAATGTTGACTTTGAAATTTTGTGAAATATAATGGAGTTCTTTTGACTAAAATGTTATTATCAGCAAATCTCTTATTATGAAATTTGGCATCGTTGTATACTTTGAACCGAAGACAGTTGAAAAGCATTTCTGTTATAAAATGTATTGAAATATTTTAAATGTTCGTCGTGAGAAAAATTTGCTCAGCAGCACAGTTAACGCAATTTGTCACAGTGTGTACTTATCAACAGAAGTTCAGTTGAATTATTTGTGATATGAAATGTTGCGGAATATTTTGAAAATTGTATTGTTTTAATTATTTACATTTTTCGTTAATATTAGTGTAAACTGTCGATATATACTTTCATAGAAAATTGGCAACAGTGGAAATGCACTTTTTGAAGAAAATTGCCATTTGAAAAAAAAAAAAAACAATAATTACAGATTATTATTATTTTTTTGTGAAAATTGGCAACTTTGTTGTTAGAAAATCATTGTGAAAATATAAGGGTGTAAAATCGAAAGTATACGGATACAAGCTGCCGACAGAGTATAATAATAGCAATTTTAATAGCTTGAAATTTTTTTCGAAAACGAAAATACATTAAGGAAAGCTTAAAACTAGTAAATCTTGCTCAAGATTTTTTTATAAATCCTTTATTAATATAACTAAGATGTGTATAAGAGACAGATTATATATTATAGGTATGTAAGTGAATTTTTTTGTCAATTGGCTGAGTAAATATGTTTGTATGCAAGATTGTGAGAGCAATTTGCAATTTAGTACTATGTATTTGTTTTTAAATATGTGGTGCTATGCGTATGTAGCTTTGGTTTTGTGTGGTATTTTAATACAATTATTTAAATTTCAGAGTTTATTTCATAAATTTTAAAAATATTATTTTTTCTTAATAAGTATTTTCCATAAATTTATAAGTAGTTTGGTGAAAAATTAAAACATTTATATCAAATAGTTGTAGCTTTTTTTTCAAAAAATACGATTTGTTGTTTTTGGTGTTTTTCTAACTACTTTAGGCAACAATGAAACTAACTAACTGGCGAAATTGAAGAATACTTTCCAATAACTACACAATTAGGCGTAAAATTTTACTGCAAATATTTGTAATATATATGTACGTACATTAATCTATTTGTGTAAAGAGAATGTATGTGTAAAAATAGTAATGAGTAAAACTCTAGCACAGTTGTACTAAAAAATAAACGGTTTCACAAAAATAAATGAGCGTTGGATTTATGAAGTAGAAGTAAGTGGTTTTGAAATTTTGAGTTTTGGAAATTTTAACTTTACTTAGTAATTTTTTTTTAATATATATTTATTTTTAAATTTTTTGTTTGACTGTTGACTAACTCTATGACCAAAACATATCCAGAGTTACACTAAATTCTAAATCGTCTAAATATACACATCGATTACTAGACTAACTAACGATTTTACCATGATAAAATGTCGTACTAAATACTGAAGCACTAAATCGACTTTGTGTTATTGTGAGAAATTTTCTTAGAATTGAGTGTTTAGTGAGTGACAGAGCTAGAGTGAGAGTAAGAGATAGTCGAAGTGGACGTTCGTTGTTTTTGCTTTAAGCTGTGAGCTGTAGCGAACATATGTGGAACGGCAAGTGAGCGAAATGTGTGTTTCTTAAGCTTAGGCTTTATGGTAAACCAAAAGTTTTTGTGTGTCAAGCTAAGCGATTACTCATAATTTTCAATCTGAAAAATATAAAATAAGTTAAAATTATGGCTGAATTTTTTAGAAGTAACTAATTTTTTTCCGTGTTTAACGTAATTCGTACTTTAAAAGCAAGAAAAAAAAATCATGAATAAAATATTTTTTCTCAAATTGAGTTGTTTTGAAAATTTCCACAAACTACATTTGTATTATAGTGGTTGATAAGAGAGCAGCAAGAGAAAAAGCATAAAATGTGGAAAGTTCATAACTTTGTTTAGAGAAAATTCTTTATATTAGAAATAAATTAGTTATTCTTCGTAAAAAAGATAATTTGCTTTCCTATAATTTTATGAATATTCACAGAAAATTGACAACATTGTATTATGTTTGTAAAGGCGTCTTTCTAAAATAGTTAGTCAGGAGGTGAGCTGAGCTAAATCGCTTTGCTATAAAATTTCATCCAAAAGTAATTATTGGCAGTCATAGAGAATTGGCCGAAAGGACAGCTCAGATAAATAGCTATGTTATGGTCTAAAAGAAGAATTGGTAGTTGTAATTTTTTTGAAAGGGCATTTTTCTAAATTAATTAGGCGAGCGGTGAGCTGAGATTAATCGCTTTGCTATGAAATTTCATCTAAAAGCAACAATGACCAGTCACAGAAAATTGGCGACATTTTAGAATTTTATAAATAATTTTTCTAAGCTAGAGAGGCTTGAGTAGAGCTGAGATATACCGCTTTGCAATATTTATTGATTCAAAAGTAATTATGGGCAGTTACAGAAAATTGACAAATTGTAGAGTTTTGGTAAGCGGGGTATTCTAAATTAAAAAAGCGAGAGATGAGCTGGAGTGAAAAATAAATTGTTATTGAAAATTGGCAGCACGTTATCGGTACGCATATTCAAATATCATTTACTGTTACCGTTATAAATAAGAAAACAAAAGTTTGAATTTGTTAGATTTCACTTAAATAAATTCAATTGTGTTTATCAATGGTTTCTTTGTAGTGAAAATTGGCAGCCATTAAATATTTTGGAGTCCATTGAATATTTCAATATTTCTTTCATATATGCTGTATAATTAAAAAAATTATAACTATTTTTCGATTATACGGCATACTAGTTAAGTCATTGTTCTTTTCTTGTTATATTAGCGAGCTTTTAAAATAATACATGGGTACTGATGATTGTATGACGCTCATAATATCATGTTACCGAAATATTTCTATTTATATTTCTAATTGTTTGTTTTTTTTGAAAGAATTTATATATGTTCTTTTTATATTTTTTTTTTAGATTTAGATTCACTACCATGGGACTATAAGCTATAATGAAAGAATTCTATGTAGAAAGTAATAACTTTATGCTACTTTTTTAAATAGACTACTTCTTAAATATAATTCTTGAATAATAATTTTTTCTTTCCGATAAAATTTTTTTTTTATTATCATAAATTCAAATTTGAATTTTACTTTTGTAAATGGTTGATTCGTGATAAAAATGTAAGATATGAAAAACAAGAATTTGTATTTAAGCAAGTTAGGTAAAATAGAAGAGAATAAAAGCTTACAAAGGGGAACAAATGTGGTGGCGGTAGTACTTTAAAGAGAAAAGTGCTTGGGGGCTACATACCAAGAAACTTTTGAGCAGAAATTTTCTTCAGAAAATGTAAAAGAGGGTGAAAAGTTGCAAGGGGTTATTTTAAAAGCGTGGAGTAAACTTAAAAATTGTATAAAAAGGGCTACAAGAGTAGGCAGAAAAGAGAAGCTTAAAAGCTTATTGTTAATTTTGGTTACAATGAAATGTGGAAGATATAAGTGACACGCCGGAACAAGGCGCGTAATATGGAGAAATATAAACAAATTAAAACTTTAGAAAAATAATATTTTTTATAACTGAGTTGTATGACTAAGTTATTTGTTAGCCGGAAACGTAAATTTTCACGAGTGCTATTAATGTTTTTTTACTCATAATAAATGTAAAACTAAACAAAAACTGTTTTAACTAATTTTTAAAAATAATTTTTCCATGAAATTTTTCCATGAAATTTTTGTAATTTTTTTTGTGTGATTTCAAGTCTTGTTTCTATATTGATTTTAATAGACTGAGTTAGTGTGCGTATTTGATTTTCGTATGTGTTAGTGGTGTTACCTCATATTTGTATATATTTGTTTTGTAAATCATTTTCGTTCATCTGCTTTGCACTAAATCCGCCTAACATAATTGTTTAGGTCTAAAATATTTTTTTTTTAATTTTTATTTCAATTATTATTTTTTGCGTCTATATTTGTTATATATTTTAGTAACTAAATATTTTTTCAATACTTTTATTACTAACACTAACATAATTTGGTTAAGGAGGGTGGGTATTCAAACTTTTAACAAACACTCACCTGAATATGAAAATGAAGAGTACGAGCAGTGAAAAGAATACCGCTACATTGTCCATTGTGCGCAGCATAACAAATAATTGACGCCGCAAATTGGGCATGAAACGCACCAGCTTGAGTATGCGCAGTAGGCGGAATGTGCGCAGCACGGAGAGGCCAGAGCCACCACCACTACTGCCATTGCCACTGTGGAATTGTTGAAAAATCTCAATGACGCTGAAAGGGAGTAGAGAATTTTTCAATATTACCAAAACATATTAAAATTTTGGCATAAGAATACTTTTTTTGTTCATGTACTGGATATATTTGCGCCCTTTATTGTGCTCCAATGTTTGAATTTCAAAATTTAATTATATGTTTTTAGCTCTTTATTTCCAATAATGAACTTATGAAAATTGACAACGTTGTGAATTTTAGTATGCATGTAATAACTGTAATATTTGAAAAGTTTAACTTTTTATTTCGTCATAGCGCCCAAATCAAAGATTGATAAAACTGGTTAAGTCATCATTATTTTCAATTTAAGATGAGATTGCAAAAAGGAGAATATGTCATATTATTATCATTCGCTAGGCTCTTTGGACGACTTTAAATTGCTACGTATGTTTCTCTGTTGAGTTGCCAGAAAGTCGTAGGTATAGGTATAGATCTGAAAGATCGTCGCATATCGAAAACACGCCTAAAGACAGCAAATTTATTGAAGCGACTAATGCCATTGTAGCCATGAAAGTTGCGCAGTGGAGGAGAAATTTTCTAGACGTTTTCAACGCATCTTTCTCATTGGAACTTTGACAAGTTGCGTCCTCCAAAATCTTTAGTCTCCATCTTTAGCTAGCTTTAAATCACTGTCAGCTGCTCTGCTATCGGAATGGCTGCAAATCTCCCTAAAAGAAGCCGCACTTCTAAAGTCGCTTTCGAAACTTTAATTTTTCCGTGATCTTGTAAGCATTTTAGGTTCGAGTAATGGAGAATTTTCGGTAAAACATTATCTTTTCTTTAATCAGATTATATGTTGGTGAACTCCAAGTTTTCAACTCTATATTTCTCTTTTCTCAACTCCAAGCTTTGAGCTCTCAACTTCACTTTCTTGAGGCCCTTTAAGCAACTATTTTCTATTTATAGGAAAATATTGAAACAGCATTCCCTGTTTTCGGTCTGATCTCGTATACATGTTAACTCGGAGCTAATTTGAGACCGGGTTTTGAAATTTTTCTTATTTCAAAAATTTTTCTTTTTCCAAACATTTTTAATTCTACAAAATATTTCCTTTTCAATTTGGTGGGAACCATTTTGGGGGTATTTCTGGAGGATCACTAGGTATAAATCTAGATTTGACTCTTTACTTTTCGAGACGGGACATTTTTCAGAGTAGTTTTATAGACTTATAAGACATTTTTGAGAGTTCTTCAATACAATTCTAACACTATTCCGCTCTATAGACTCTTTTTCCAGGGTCTAAACGCTATATGAGCAGACGGTTTGGATATAAGTCATGATATATCAAGGGTATGGTTGTTGACATTTTGTCATTCTCGAAGTCACCTCTGAGGGTCTATTAATTCGAAAAATAGAGAGTTTCTTTCCCGACACCCATACTTGGCATATGAATTGAAATACAACTTTTCATTCAAAAAGCTTGTGCATGAATCAACTACAAAGCTGGTGAATGAGTTTTCCGTCGAAAAATATATATAGATTTCGCTTTCTATGCTAAGCAATAAATTTCATGACTATGCAAATTTTGTAAAATTGCCATGACACATACACATACGTTCGCGCGCGCTCACGTAACACGAGTATTTGCTTGCAATTCACGCCTTAGCGCCACGCAGCACACATTTTTCCCATATTATATATGTATGTATGTGTGTGTCTGCGCTGACTGGCGGAAAAGCGCACGATTTTTCCCCAAACACCACAATGAATGCCGCTCATGCAAATCCTTGCTACTTTGGCGTGTTGGAGCAGTGATAATTTCACTGTTGACATACGATTGCCGAAGATTTAGATTGCAGCGGCGTGAAGCGACACAAGCAGGCGGCGGCTGTGGTTCGAAGGGTTAGAGTGGGTGGTAAGGCATAACAACACAGTAATTTGCGCCTAGCTGTCAAATGTTGGCTAGATCCTCTACTTTGTTGTTGGCAGTGCGAATGTATGCAACAGCCGATGTATATGTGTGTGTGCAACAGGCGTTGAGTAGCAACCAAAAACTAGAAGAATACCAAAAAAGCGAATGTGAAAATGGCAAACGAAAGCATTGAAGCGTTGCCGAATGTGAAAATTGCTGCTGCGGCGCCGCACGTGGAGGCGGTATATGCTGCTACACCGCATACACATATACATATGCACATTTTATAGCTATATGTGAGTGCGCGCTGTGTCGCTGCAGTCAACAAGTTGAGAATATGTTAACGTCGCCAGCAATAAATTGCCGCGCTGCCAGCATTCACAGCAGTCCGAGCCGGAGCTTGTGGCAGCCGGCCGCTCGAGGCGCAGGCGACGACAATCAAGTGGCCGAGCTTTGCCTTTTTGTTGTTATTTTTTCTACAATATTGCTGTTTCTTTTCCTTTTTGCATGCCACATTTAATGGTTAGCAAGCAGTGGTTTTGTGGCGGTCTAAAAATATATATGTGCAAATTGCTTTCGTCTACAATGTCGCGTTGTCACTGTGTGTGTGTGTTTGGCTCTTAAATAGCACGAATTTTTCACATTTCAAATTAACTTTGCACAAATTGTTTGCATAAAGTTGTGCCATGCAAGTTATGAGGTTGGCCGCACATGGCGTATGAGTAACATTTTAAGTGGCGAGCGCACGTTTGTCTATGTTTCTGACTTAGATGCAACAGCGCGTGTGTGTATGTTTGTTTGCACTGAGTATTCACATTATTTAGACGTTTGTTGGCGTATTTTGTTGGTCAGCCGTGGCGTATGAGTGATATGCTAATAACTTTGGCTGCTAACCATATGAGCGCAGTTTGACAAGTCGGTGACTTTTTGAGTGACAGTTATTATTTTGAACAATGTGGAGTTTTGTGGACTCAGCGTGGATTCATTTTGGTCTAGTAAAAACATAGAAAGATCTTGTTTTCTAAATTTTAAAATATTTGTTTAATTTTCTTGAAGTTCTTTCCTTTCATCCGTTCTTAAAATATTATTTTTATAGCGTATTACGGCCCCAAATAGATTTCGGTTCCCATTTTGGTTCAAACCTTGTTTTGTTGTCGGTATTATGCTACTTTTTGGATGTTATTATTTAATGTATCATGTGTACTTTGTCCTAAAATTGTTTTGGTTCAGATGTTAGAAGGTGATGGGTGACTAGACAGTATCGAAGCAATTAAGACTTGTAAGTTGCAACAAAAATTTTGAAATTGATCTCCAAAATATGCGTTTTTGCACCAAGAAGAGTCACATACGAGTAAGTCTTTGAGCTCTAATATAATAAATATGCTCCAGTAATATGACATGAAGATTCTAGCCGCCAGAGTAACATCGAAGGAAATGAAACCGTATTTGAATTAGCTTTTATGGGTTTTTCTGACTACCTTTAAATATTTACAGTAATTTTTATGTACTTAGTTAGCCTCTGCAAGACAAATTGAAGCTACATATATAGGTATACATATGTTGTAGCTTCTGAAGTGTAGGAAATGGCGGAGGTTATTCATTTTCTATATAAATATCTTGCAAACAGGTCTTATATGTCGATTGAGCTGACGCGATTACTTCGGTCTGCTTAGGCCGAGGCGTTTTCAAATAAGCTACTCTTTATTTGGGCAAAAAATAGTAATATTTTAAATATATTATATGCTCAGTAGTATCTGTTGAAATCTCATCAGATTAATACTTCTTCGTAGAAATCTCTTGCAGAGGTGCTGAAAGCTAAAAAAGCTTGCATTCTCTTTGCTATTCACGTTTAAGTAAGGTTATCACTCGTCCAACTTTGCCTTAGGGTTTCTCTTGACAGCCACACAGTAGAAATTGGCCTTCTACTTTAGAAAGTTCTTTTATAAATTTGTGATTAGCACTGATTAGTTTATAATATAGGCTTGAGTTTCCTTATTGTAAATCTTTGAAAGCGGAATGACTTTATTTTAAACGGAAAATGGTATGATATAGGATAAATTAAAGATCGATATATGAAAAGATAAAGCTATTTCGAAGTGGTATTGAATCTAGCCTTCTGAACGAATACAGATTTCATTGTAGAGTTTATTCGATTTTCTTTGATTGAGGGCTTTTGACTTCCCATATTGACCTACTGTCTAATAGATCGAGATTTGCAAATAAAAAACTTGATTTCAACTGGTGATTCGGACAAAGGTAGTGAAACGAAGCTCATCAAACATCAATTCACTTCCATAGCAATTGAACGTAAATTTTAAAATGTAGACCTCTTAGCTACTCACCTGAGTATCACAATAATGCCGTCGAACACATTGAAACCATTCGCTATATAACGAAATGAACCTTCCGCCACCACCTTAAGCAACATCTCCACAGCGAATATCGCCGAGAAAACGATATTACTCTTCTCCACAATGGCGGTCAAATAGTCGGGCTGCTTATGGTACTCAATACCCATGGAGAGTGTGTTAATGAGAATGGCCAACAGTATGCCTTGCTGAAAGTACTTATGCTCCACCAGCAACTTTATGTAGCGACGCATCACACCGCAAACGCGCATCAGACAGCGATAAATGCTGATCACAATTTTGATCGGCTTCGAGTGCTGCTTCTTATCGCCCAGCGGTGACAGCGCATTCTGGTATAAATCATAGCAACACGAGTAGTCTTCGATGTAGTTGCCGGTTGTTGTGTTGGCGGTGTTGTTGCCTGCGCTGCTGTTGTTGTCCAAACGCTTGCGTTCGCTTATCACTTTTGAATTTGACTGTTGTTGTTGCTGTTTTATTAATTGTGACTGCTGGCGGTTGTGTTGGTTTTTCAGCGCCTCAGCGGTATGTGGATCACAGCGCGCCAATGAGGTGTAAAACGATTCCAACGTACTCTGGCCGGTGGGTAGGGCCGCTGAAAAGGCCACAGAAAATGCTAAAAGCTCTTGACATGTCATCGCGTCGTGTATACCGAGTTCGGAGCAATCGGCGTACGGATTGGCGATGGTGCTGCCGCCGCTATTGATCGTTTGGGGGAGATTAACCTATGAGAGCGAATAAAGAGTGAAAGAGAGTCAGGTAATGATATAATGGGAAGACAATGAAGAGAGTGCAATTAATTTTGAGAGCGAAATATAAATAAAGTAAAGAGTGTTAAGCACAAAAATATGTAAACGGATAGCAAAAAGTTGGAATGGAAACTATTTACATGGAATGAAATTGACATGTGCTATGATGCGACATGTGCTGTAATTTGAAATGAAGCAAAATTATAGCATATGATGCGTTATAATACATGTGATGTCATGAAAAGTAAAGAGGAAACATTTCGAATATTACTAGTAAAGAGCTGAGTATGTGATATGATTTCAATGGGTGCGATATGAATGATAATACGTGATTTTATTTGATATCATATGAAGAGATGTGTTTTGATTAGTATGGGTTGGGGTTGGAAAGTAAAAGAACTGACGTAATATGATGTTCAATAGTATGATGTGACATCATGTGATATGAAATCATATGATATGTACAGAATTTTTAGTAAATGGTTAATAAAAGAAAATGGCGTAAAACAAATGTCATAAATATATTAAAGAATGACGTGATATGACGTCTTATAATAAGATGTGATATCACGTGATATGCTATGATTTTGTTCGAGTGATATCAACGTGATGTGATACTTGTGATATTACTAACTGATGCTACAGTTTTCATTATGAGTGAAAGTGGAAATGGGAATGACATTAAAGAGTCTTAAAAGATACATATACATACATATATATTATAATGCTTAATCAGGCGGAATTAATTAAATTTTTCTAACATGTGATGTCATATAAAGATAAATGACGGACAGGATGTGATGTCGAATCAAATAAAAAGCAATTAAATTAGTCTTTAAAATTATAATTATGTGTTTTAAATATAAGATTTGATGGTGATACTCTGATGTGACATCATATGAAAATCATGTTGCGAATCAAATTGAAAACATAGCCGTAAAAACGAAAAATAATTGATTTTAATTAAAGTGGTGTCATGTGATGTGATATCATATGATACAGAATGATTTGCTTTAAACTCATATGATATAAAATAGCATAAATTCATACAAAGTGCATTAAAACAATTTTTAAATGTACAATTTTTTGTATTAATTTTTGTTGTAAAAATTAAACATTATTATATTTACTATACTGAACAAAAATAGAGGAGAGAAGAAGAACATATCGTGCAAATCGACAAATATATAAAATTTCAAGCAAACTATATAATAATATGCAATATATAAAGAAAATTCGCGCAAGGTTTGCGATATTAACGCATTTAATGAGAGGAGGAAAACGTTGCAAATTAAGTTGAAAAAAGCTCTAACGGTGAAAGCTTGCGAAGATGCTCGTAAAATAAACAAAATCAGTTATAGAATTATGGCGAAGAGTTGGAAATGCGAATTTCCCACCTTCCAATTGCTTACGACTCACCTGCCATATGCTGCCATCACCAGCCTGCGTCATTTTCTCCGACGAGCACACGGTACCGCTCTTCTCTGCCACATTTGTTGTTGTTGTGCTTGGTATAGTTAACGGTTCGCTAATTGCAGGCGGTGTATGCAGCAGCACATATTCGTTGAACATCACCGACGGACGACGGCTAGCCGATGTGGGTGGACTGAGGAAGCCCGAGGTGCACGGATTGCTCTGCGGAGGGAAGGTGGGAGCGAAAGAAAAAAAGTAAAATACAAGTAAAGAAAAATATGAAAAATTAAAAAATGTTGAGGAAAAATGTTGAAGAGGTGGTTGGTTACATATGTAAGAAGAAAATGTGGATTAATTACATTTTATATTTTTAAATCTTTAAGAAAAAATTTTGCATAATTCACAAGGTACCATAGCATTGGTATAAAAAATGTAATCTTTCGAGCTTTCTACTAAATATTTATGTATAATTTCAACAGTAAACAGTTATATTTCAAGGTTATAATGTACATGTGGGGGACGGCAGATAAAGAGCGGGGTCAAACTTATTTTACTATTCTTCGTGAAATTTTTACTATTTACAAATTTTGCTCTCAAAACTGTTGGGACTTGATATGACTGACTTTGTGTAAGCGTAAAACATGTCAACGTGTTTTTAAAAATATTGAAATTATAAAAAAGCAACTAAAAGATATAAAAGCAGCAGGTTGTCTATTTACAGTGGTACAAAATGTGTAAAATATTGCGTAAAATTTTTAACGGTAAAATTTATAAATACCAAAATCTACTTAATATATCTATACCTTGCCCAAGTTTCCCAACTGCAGCTAAATTGTTACGTAATTGATACAAGTAGTTTATGAAAAATATTTAGAAGTCGCCAAAATATATAAGAAATGGCATAAAATCGGGTAGTTGTGTATAGTTTTTCCGGCTGTGTGTTGTTTGTAGCAGTTTTTGTTTTTTTGGTAAAAAGGCAACTGTCAAGAGTGGTTTCAGACCCTTTTCCTTTATAATTTTCTTGTAAAATATTGTGTTTTCTTGACAATCGATTTTTGAATGGGCTTTTCAAAATTTAAAGGTAGGTGTAGCTTTGTAGAATTCACAAATTCGAGTTCTGCTGTTTCTTTTTTTGTTTTGTTTTGTTATGTTTTGGTGTTGTTTAAGGTTTTTAAAAAATTAGAATTAAAATAATATTTTAAAGGCACGTTGATTCAAACCATGACCTAAGAATTTCATAATTTAAGTGACAGAGAGAGAAAAGGGTTAAATTTTCTCACTTTTTCAAAAACAAACGCAAAAATATCGATAGAAAGTTATCGGAAAAGACACCGATCACTGTTATGATATACATGTTTCTTCCACTATAAAATATTTTTTTGAATCAATAAATTTAAAAATATATATAAAGCAAAAGTTAATCATTTTTCTCAAATATTGTTCCCATAAATCGTAGAAATTTGAACTTTTATGTATCGATACATACTCAGAATGTTTTGTATTCTTATAGAAACCGAGCGGCTTAACTCTTCCTAAGCCTATACATCTACAGTTATCGATAAAGAAATAGATTAATTTAGTTTATCGGCTTTTTGTTACTGCGATAGGTGCTCCGAATGTATAAACTTTGAACTGCTAAAAGCTTTACTGTATTATGTTCTCATAGCAGCCGAGTAAAATCTAAGCATAGAAACTTACACTTATTGATAACTAACATTTTTGATATATCGATAAATACTCAGAAAAACTTCACTTTGATTGTGTGAGGGGCTTACAAAACAATATTTGCATTTTTGCTCTTCCTAAACTTATACATCTACGGTTATCGATAACAAAAAAATTGATAAATTTAGTTTTTCGATTTTTTGTTATAATTTTTAATTTTTAAAAGTTTACTAAAATAGTATTTGCATTTCTACCTGCCTTAATATACAGAAATTTACAGTTATCATAACTAAAAATCGACTATACATCGAATATATTAATCGATAAATATTTACAATATAAAATTTTTGAATACGTACGTGCTTTGATAAATATTATGCGCATTTTTACGCATCTAAACATAGGAATTTATACTTATCGATAATTAAAAATCGATAAATAATTGAATCATCGTGCCTTTTATAATAAAAATATTAAATTATACTATTTCTATCAAACAAAACTCACAATTAATTGCTCCGAATCACCATTGGAAGGAAATTTCAGCAAAATCGTTTTCTGCTGTCCCGCCGGCTGTTGACCCTGCCCCAGCGTCTGCGCTTGTTGCTTGACCACATCCGGTGTCAAGTGATTTGAAGACTTCTTCAGGTTGGAATTGCGTGCTGTATGCTCCAATGATTGCACAGAATTCTCCGAAGAGGAATGTTGTTGCTGTTGCTGCGACGACTGTGCTTGTTGCTGTTGTTGTTGCTGGCCGACCACACTTATATTGTTATTATTGATGCTATGCGGTAAACCCGTGTTGGCAGTGCCATTTATTAGCGTTGTCGTTGTGCCACTCATTGGCAGCGCCAGTGTAGAAGACGCCGCCGTCGCCGCTGTTGTGGCTGCTGTCGCTGCTGTGGGTGGCGTTAATATTGTGCTGGTTGCTGTTGTTGTTGCATGACTGCGCGTGCCATTAGCCACAGCAGCAGCACTGCCTCCGCCACCATTATTGTTGTTGTTGCTGCTGTTGCTTACATTATTATTGTTGGAATTCAGCGGCACCATGACGGTGATCATTTGATCCTGTATACTCGACGGCTTGCGATTGCCATACTTGGGGCACTTCGGGTGGTGGCATTTGATGCGCGATGGCGAGAATGTCAAATTGTCGGCGTTCGGCAGCAAACCTTCGTTGCGTTGTTGTTTTTGGTATCTGTTGCATGAATTTTTGTTGTTGTTGTTGTTGTTGTTCATTTTAGCGCACATTGTTAATTATTTTGTCGTTGATTTATGACAGTTGACGGAAGTTGTTTGACATTTGAAGAGTTCGCGTGTGTGTGTGCGTTTGGATTTTCGCAGCGTCGGTGCGCACACGAGCGGCAATTTGTTGACATTTGACATGTGTGCACAGTTATTTGTCAGTTGTGCAAATTTGCGTCAGTTTATCGCCATTTCATTGTGCACGGATGACATGCATGTCATTTCGATTGCATTGTTGTTGACGTTTGCCGAATTTTTTTTGTTTGTGTTGTTTTTTCGTTTGTTCGAATGAAAGAAGCATAAATAGAGAGCAGAGTGTAAATATTAGTGTCACATTTCAGCTGAAATTTCATTTCAAAAATTTTTCTCTTGTTTTTTGTTTGAGTGCAGAACACTCTCATGCCTGACTGATTGACTGACTGATTGTCTACTTTAGTTTATTTTTGGATCGCTGTGTCTGTAGCAAGTGTCGCCTTGGTTGTGTAAATTGTTAGTGGGCTTTTTATTTGGCTTGATATTCTAATATGTATGAGTTTATTTAATAAAATGTTATTTTTCGTGCATGAAAAATGCTTTAGGCTAGTGACAGAACCACAAATCATGTTGTCAAGACAGCTATGAGTCCGAGGATGGGAAAAAAGTTGCTTATTTAACTAAATTTTATGTAGAAAAAGAACTTTCTTTACAATATGGAACTACTTGCCACTTTCCAAATGAAAGAGACTCGGTCACTAAGGCCGAGTTAAAGCTAGAAAAACTTGACTGAAGAATAAAACTTCAGCATCGGAACCAGAATTAGTTATCCGTGGTACTAGAGACAAAAAAAAAAAACAAAGAAAAGTTCAGAAAAAAGGTCTATAAACTAACAATTAGATGAGTATGCTCTTTCAGGTAGCAGAATTATTCATGAGTGCTTAAGGGGTTATTTAAAAAATATCGTTTTTTTTTCTGAGTCGGTGAAAAAATTTCACGCTTTCTTAGATAAATTTATAAAACAATATTTTTTTCTGACTTGCAAGTTGTTTCCGCGATTTTGTAATCTCGCTATGACGATGACTCGTTTCCTGCACACTAGGATAATAGATTCGGATGTTTATTTAGTCAAAGGCTATGAACTCGGCAATATTTTCAAATAATGTTTGCCACAAGAACAAGACAAGCCAAGAATACCGATGCAAGTTGTGCAGCGTTTTATATATATTATGAATTGCTTGACGAATATCTATAGAAATTTCTTCGTTAAGCGTTTTTTATGAACTTGTGGAATATCTGAAATTCCTTCCAACGAATGGTATCACTCAGTTCATATTGCTACATGTTTTTAAAAAAAATTAGATGCTAAAGCATTTTTGGGAATGTCGAGCTTGAGTTAATCGCTCAACAGAGCTGTTGCTTCGACCGAAACGTGAGATGGTAGTATATTACTTATCTTCTGCTTGGAATAATTGTTTCAATTAGAAATGTCGAAAATACAACCGGGCACTTTATTTTTCTGAAAGGGGCTAATGAGAAATTCGATTGTATGGTCTAGTGTTTGAAGCTTTTGTATTGTCTATGAATGTGAAACAGAAATATTATTATGGAAAAAAATTTATTGTGGTGATTTGAAATGGATTTCTCTCTGTTCTAAGTTCGTGTATGAATAAAAGCAGTTGTAAGTATTATAAATGTTGCAAGCTTTTAGATTTAGAGTAATTTTTCAATATCATTTCAAATTTGTAATCAGTGACATATTTTTGCTAAACAAAATTAAATACTTTCTGAAATAAGAGTTGGAAATACTTTTTCGAAAAATTTTGAGTTGGAAATACTTTTGCAAAAAGGATTGAAAATATTAAAAATAAGATTGGAAATCGTTTTTCAAAAAATATTGAAATAGTTTCATTTTTATTAGAAATATATTTGTTATTGAAATTAATTCCATATTTTTTCCGAATTAAAAAATTTTTGTATCAAA